GCGACCTCTGGTATTCGCTCGAAAAGTCCCTCTCTTGGGGCTGGGACCCACTGAGAAACAATACACGGAGACTGCTCATGAACGCGGATTACTTGCCAACTCAACTTGTGGCACGAAGCTTAACCGTGTCTATCCACTACTGCGTTGGAGTGTCTGTTGAGTCCCGAACTATGTGACCTGAATGTAAAAGGAGAACCAATCAACAAGCCACATGCCGGTAACCTGACGTATTGACGTCAATCGCTATCTATTGGCTTTAGTGTCGCCCTCCGTGGGAGGCGAAATACTTGGTTTGGTAGTTTGTAACTGTTGACCGCGAGACTTAAAACGGTTTAGAACTTATAGGCTGCGCCTGCGTGCAGCTATGTGTCTAACGAGTCAACCTGCGGGCCGTAATTTGTGGAGTCCACGTTGTAAAATGTGTTTTTTTGGATGTTTCTATGTAAAAATGTATGCTCGACTATATTTGTGCAAATGTATGATTTTTTAGAACACTATTAGGATGTCTACCTCTCACGCACGGTCGTCTAATAGGCGCCGTACGTCTTAGAGACACTCCCAGTGTTTCAAAGATTCCCCCGCATATAGCCTTAACAGACTGGTGGGCAAGTGCTGTTAGCGAGCACCTATGAAAGCCGGAACTCTCCACGATGGGGTGTGGGTGGCCAGCACCACGCCCGACCGCCTTTGTCTCCCCAGTATTTCGCACACACACATTCATCACACGCGCGCAACGCATTCTTTCTGGAAAATTGCGACTTTAAACGCGCAAATTGCTAAGTCAATAACCATTTACGTTGACAATGTACACGGGCACGTACACGGTGCATTATAACAACCCTCCCTACACCCCCCCCTTGTTTTTGAACGACGAGGCTGTTGGTACAAGCGTTGTTAGCACAACACCCATTAAGGTTTAAGCTCACGCTAACACTCGCCCAAACGCCTTTGTCTCTCCCGTGCTATGAGATTGAGACACTTCACCGAGTACTCATTTTGTAACAAATTAATTTATGATTTTCTTTTGTTAAATAATAATAACATTAATAGCAGCCACCTACCGCTATTTGTCAATTCACCGCGAGATTCAAGACTTCCCAGGCGCCGTGGTCGGCCATGGGGATGGTTAACCATACCTCACTCTGCTGGGCAGTGCGGGTCTAGTGAATGGGCGTTGGGGGGAGCTAAGACCAGTTCGGACGTGAACCGTGGCCCCGAATCGAGCTCAGGTTAATAGGTTCCTAGCGCAGGATAATTACATGATATATTGACGTTGAAACCGAGCGGATTTGTTCATTCTAGGCCGAATTGACCTAAGCGGCAACACATGCCGTTACTGTGTTGAGATAGCAATTGTCACTGAAGCGTGCACGTTCAGGATTTGAACCCACGGTGGCCTGGATCGTAGCGCAGTGTGCTTGTCCCCCGCTTGCACGTAGTAGCTTCTCCCGTTTGGCTTTTGGTTGTTCCCGCGAGCAATTCCGCACGACGTCCGACGTTTCGCTGCGCGGCTGCTGGAAGGACAACGGCTCTCGGCACGTGCTCGCAGCACCACAACTCCAATGCACACCGCAGGGCTGTTCGTCACACAACCGCCGACATCCCACGCTGTAGTGCCAGCCGACGTAACACTCCACACGCATTGCTCATAACAATGCTCACTCCCACCAGCATCCAACGAACCGCGAGGCTCTCTACAAAAGTGTCCGTTACTTTTCAAAGAGAGGGGGAGTGAGTGAGAGAGAGAGAGAAAACCCAAGCATTTTTTTTCTAAGAGAGCATAGCTTCCGTCCAGCTTAATGTGACGGGGCTGTGCATTGGCTGCGAGCTGCCAGGCGGCATAATATCCGAGCCCTTACGCGCGCGCTGCCTGTTTATAATCACAGGAAATTAAAGTGGAAAGGCGTTATTCCCTTGTCGTATAATTAGCCTCATGTAATGTTTACTACTTTTTGTCATTTCCCCCCCCCCCCGCCCGCTCGCCCCCCGCAAGTATTTTATGTTGCTGACCTTTAATAATCCCGGGAGAAGCATTTGCAATTACACTCCAGTGCTTGTTCCTAGAATTCTCGCGCGCGCGCGCACACACACGCACAGATGGTAATTATATAACCCAGGAATGCCAATATTGAGATCAACAGGTATCGTGAATGTGCGTAGGTTTAGATGTTGTAGATATCAGCCACAAACTGAATGGCATGGGGAGGGGGGGTTCCTGTTTGATGTTCGCGATGTATGATGAAGACTAAAGTTGATCGCTTTGCTGTTAATGAAACGCATTCCTGAGCGGCTGACGAATATAAAGGGAGCGTCGGATTATTGAGCAGCCTGCGATCCGGGTGATGTTATTAAATAAGTGAGCCTATTAAGCACTCAGCCACTGGCACAAGTATCGAACGCCGTCGGCTTGATAGGCTATGGATCCTTTGGTATGATCGACACAGAAAGACGCAGACCTCCCCCTCCCCCCATATATTCTTAACAGACGTTTTGGGCAAGTTCTGTTAGCGAGCAGCTATTAAGACCGGCACGGCACACGAGGGGTGCGTCGCCACCACCACAAAGACAAAGATCCCCCGTATAGCCTTGACAGACTGTAGGGGCAAGTGTTGTTAGCGAGCACCTATGAAGGCCAGAACGGTGCACGAGGGGGTGAGTGTGGCCAGCACCACGCCCGACCGCCTTTGTCTCCCCAGTGGTGATGTTTACATAACGCACCGGGTACTCATTTGAGGCTGAATCGACCTAGGGGAGGCCCGGGACCGGTTTAGATAATCGTCACTGGTGTTGGCCGTGAGCCGGAATCGAACTCGGGTCGCCGGGTTCAAAGCTCAGCGCGCTAACCGCTACACTATACACTGATGTACACGTGCAATGTATTGACGTTAAAAAAAACGTAAATGTATCTCTCTACCCTCCACGGTGGCCCCTCTGGGGGAGCGTTCTCTCCTTTAGCTGTCATTCTGTCGCCAGCCTCGCCCACCCCTCCCAGTGATGTGTTCTGGTCAAGCTCACTTCCATTTCATAACAGTTAAGACCGTGTCTCTGATTTGCGATTGGTTCCCTTATCAACGAGCCCATCGCCGACAGGCTCTCGTAACAGAATAGTCCACACACACACAGAAAATCCCCGTACACGTATTTGTAGATCTGCGTGTAGCATCCGAATTTCATGCCAGGGCTAACGCTCCGTTATTTCCCTTCTCCGATCACGTGCAAGGTGCTCGCACGTGTGCACTGCAGTGCAAACACAAGCAGCGAAATGAATAATGTACGCGCGCCTTATACCAGGGCTGGTGCGTGCCCCGTCCTCCACTGAACTCCGTGGGTTCCGGTTCATTTATGGCCCCAATGAGGCACAGGAGTCGACTCGGTGACAACCGGTGTCAAGGATTACATCTTGGAAAGCTGGTTGGGGAGGGAGAGATATTGATGTGTTTCAAATTCTCCAGCCAAGATACAAAGATACGTTCCACGGTTTCACGACGTACGCTATATAAGTATATAGTGTCCTAAAATAGCATCACCATCTGCTGTGTACGATAAAAAACACAACACATTGTCAATAGCACTGCCTTAAAAGAAGGGCCATTGGGCGACACGTCTATTATATATATTGCCTTTTAAAGGCGGTGTTTTTGACGAATGTGTTGAGTTTTGTTCCTGCTGCTGCTGCTGCTATTTGTACTTGTGACCCACTAACAACGCAGAAGCACCATCACAACATCATGTGCTCTGTGCTATCGGCACGAGATCGTCGTCGTCATCATCATCATCGTGTTTAAGACGAGGGAAAGCTGCGATACACCGCAGTTAAATTTGTCCCCTGATTTGATGTTTGTATATCCACTGTGCTCCTCCCTTCGTGTGAGTGTTTTATTTCCTCTTAGCTACAATCCTGTCTCTGGCTTTGTCCATCAATCTGCAGCCCTTTGTCAATGCGATGTTGGATGAAGGCATCCCTACCCAGCGTCTATCATGAGCGTTGTCTGAGCATACTTTCACCACGCTGATCAGCTAAGGTCTGTGACTGGGCGGGTCTGGCTCCGTCCAAATATACATCGCCACTGATGTTAGCCGTGACAAGGAATCGAACTTAGGTCGCCGGGTTCATTGCGCAGTGGGCTAACCACTGCCCTTTGCCTATGTCCATCAATCCACACCCATGTCGCTTATCGACGCGCTATGCCCGAGTACACTTTTAGTATAATTGTTAATTTATGAAAGCAAAGTTTCTGCCAGCAGGGTTTATTTTATTTTATAGATTCGATGCAAGATTCCGAGACGCAATTTTCTGAACGTAAACCGCTCGAGCAATCGTAATTTTAAGAGCGGATGACGTTGGTCTGTGGGGAATTTCGCAATGCGTTGGAAATGTTGGACTCTTTGTGATGGATCGTTGTTGCATTTTTTATCATAAATCGTATCAATGTCGTATGAATAGAGGTCCTCTCCTGACCACTGTGAGGCTGTGAGTGACACGGTCCACCAATCAACTGATCTGTTTTCCACAAGCACTGTTCAATCTCCTGTGCGCAGTGGTCGCCGGGATCGCGTTGCAGTTTTAGCATCTGCCCATATATCTTGTGCGCAAGAGAAGACGTCTTAACGATGCGATTCCAAGGATCATTATTTTCGGATAAACCTGCCATACAGGGACATGAATGAGTTTCCACACTGCCAACATTTCCACCACCGTCTATCTGACAGAATGCAACCAGGAAGGCACAAATACAATTAAGGCAATATTAACTCTTTCGTAGGTGCTGCCTTAGAATAAAAGCACCGGTCTCAAGTTCGCATTGCGTAGGACCACGGCGTGCATATACAAATAATAATAAACAACAACATTGAAATGCTATTGAGAATAAAATTTAAATTCAGTTTTTTTATTGCAGCAATCCCCACCACTGATTTATGTTCACAGATGAGTAATGCCACCCACACATCAACCTACAATGGGGGGGGGGGGGGGCAACACGATGATGTCTTTATCAAGGCCGGGTTTCCCAGCCGCGATTGGCTGAGCGCACGGCCTCCTTCTGCGTCGTCGCCCACGGGTGTAAGCGCCGCCCTTGTCGCTTCTCTGGCAGGAATAACTGGCAGCTCGGAGCGCGTGAAGCACCTCCCCCCTCCCCCCCCCCCAACTATATTCCCAACCCATCGAGCCGCGCCGCGCCTGATCAGTTGCGCTTCGGAGCAGAGCCCAACACGGCCCAAGCTGGTGCGATGGAGAATAGTTCATCCGCCGCGCTTCTCGTCTCCTGCATGTGGATGTTGCTTTGCGGCTGCTATCTCGTCGGCTGCACGGCCAAAGAAGGTGAACACAGCGCACGCACACATTGAGCAACGCGCGCGCACACACACAGAGCAACGTGCATCTCGCAACGAACAGTTAAACTTGTTTTGTTGCGACGGCGGCGGTGTCGGCGTCAAAGCAGCGGTGCGCGCTTTGATTCGTGCGTTAAAAGCTGCGCGGGTCTCCGGTGACCCGGGGGATAAGTTCGCGTGTGAACAACAAGCGAAGAAGCCGATGCTCGCGCTTTGCCGAGCCTGCTCGGCTCACTCGTGCGCGCTCGTGGCGCTGCGACTCGAGACGCTGGTCTGGCGCCGTTCAGTTAAATCGCGGGCACGATCACCGTTGACGACCGTGCGCGAGACGGGTTTTAAAGCGCGCGGGCGCGTGTTCAATGTTGGTGCGTTTAACGAAAGCCGTTGCACGTCGCGCTTGTTATGTTATAATGACGCGTAAACACTCGCAGACGTACGCTGCTCCAGAGTTACCCGCCGCGCATCAGCGACGGCACGGGCTACGTGGCGCGTGCTGTCGCTTGGCGGTCACTCGATGCAGCAAATCTGGCTGTGACGGTCCCACCTGATGACGGAGGTTTGTGTTGCCTCCGAAACGTCGTGATTTTATTGTTTTATTTTTTTTTATTCATTTTTTTTTTCATTTTTTTTTACCTACGTGACTTTACCGAAAGAACTAAGAGTATGAATCCCCGCACATCGTTTCGCGTAATCGCATCCAACTTTGGCGGCGTGCGTTTTTGCGAGCCTCTTCGTGAGATCGTTTTTTACTTCTCGGGCTCAATCTGAGCCGAGCGCGTTTGAAGCGCGCCCGCTCTTCCGAATGTACGTGTCGGCGCAAACAATACGACGACGTGGTCAAGCTACGCGCATTCTCGTTGACGCTCGCGAGAAGAAAGTCAACGACTAATAATCGAAATGCCATTTACCGTTGCACGCGAGATATTGTCCTCGTTTGATCTACACTCAGCATTGTCCTGGAAGCGTACTCTAAGGCTACAATGGACGCGCGCATACGATCAAATGCTTGCAGCTTTGTGCATTGTGAAGCTAAAAATACGGCTCGCCAAATGTAGAATTGGATGTTTTACAGGATTCGCGTTGGCTGTGGTAGGAGTATTCTGCAAATGTCATTTTGGCATGACTATTATTCCTCCGGATACGTGCCTACTAACATTTTCCCGCTTTGTTCTTTGTGTCGAGGGCTGAAATTATAGCGTATACATTTCTCGTGGTATTATCGCGTCAAACGGCCCATTATCTTGTACATATTACGAACAAGACCTTCAGATGTCACACGATTTTGAACCCAAAGCGTACGCGGGTGTGTGTGCGGGCGTGTGTATTTTTTTGCACCCACTTACCTGCCGCTTTCATTCGTTATGTTTTAATTCTTTTTTTTGCGCAGATGTTCCTCGTTCGCTTACAATATTGTTAATCACGGCGCGCAGAACGAAAGAGGTTTCGTTCGTATTGAAAGCTTCGCGTGGTGGTTGATCCCGTGTGTTTGTAATTGTAAATGTGGTCATTTTTGTTATTAATGTGCACGCCACGCACTCGAGTCACGGCCCCGTAAACATCACATCTGTGCACATTCACGAACACCTCCGAATATGATGAACTGATTTTTTTTTTATTATCTGAAAACGGGTTATGGTACGTTTTTACTCGCTGGTTTTCACTGCGCGTTAAGCCACGAAAGTTGGACGTTTTATTACGTTGTTAAATAACAATAATTGTACGCAATACAATGCACTATTCAGGAGAAAAAAAGCAACAACAAACTCGCAGTTACAAGACTTTTTTTCAGGAAGGCGTTAGCATTGGGATGTTTGGGCAATTCCATCCCCGCCTTTTTGGTGCGTGGGACAGAACTGGAGTGCACGGGGAAAATGTCTTTCCCCTAATAAGAAATCATGATTGAGTTCAGTGGTGAATTTATCAAGTTACACGATGGGTGAAGAAACCAAGACAAATCGCCATCCTTCCATGTGTTCGTGTGTTCTGCGTGCCAGCTCTCGCTGATGAAGCTTCACAATGCCCCACTCACACTCTCGCCTTCAGAACGCGCACGCCGTGAAAGTAGTCCAAGCCAGACACAACAATCACATCCACGCTCGGTGAAGCCGAATAAACTTGCCCAGCAATTGGAACATTCACCACTGGGGCAGTCTAAAAAATAGATGATGGTTGCATTATAGGCTCGTTGGAACGACAATACTGTGATGTATTATCAAAGTGCTATGCCTACTAGAGTCGTAGAAATTAACTTTATAAGTGTAATTTTATATTATGGTAACAATAATACATATTGACAATTTTCTGCCAAGTGGATACTAAATAGGACTACTCATTGACAATTGCTACATTAACCCATTTGTGTGCCTTTCTAAAACACGTGCTACTCCGAGGTCTGGCCTCCCTTATTAATAGTAAAACGAATCTCTTTGTGTTCTCACTTGGCTACATAAAGGACAGGACGTCAGTCAATGCGTCATTACGTGGTTGTGCTTGTCAGGAGAAGCAAACCATGGATCATCTCCTGAGATGTCCTGCAGCACCACAATGCACTTCTCGAATTGTATCAATGCCAACACCACAAGCGTTGGCCTGTGCAGAATATTGGCAAAATACCATAGAGGTTGGACAGGAGACACGACGAAGAAGATTACGTGGTTTAATTTAATCAGCCATCAACATGGTTCAAGATGGCACCTCCAGAAATGTATTGTTGATTAATTGTAAATGTCACGTGTGATATTTGGTAATTTTCTGTATTTTTGTTGGTACAAGAAAGTGCACAGTATCTCACTTGTCCAAATCTCTCCACCCTCTTCTCCTCTCCCATCACCGCAACAACCCCCACCGCCCCCCCCTCTCAACCGCCCCCTCCACCGCTCCTGTAACAGTGGATCTGCTCAACACGATGGGCATCCAGGGCGAGATGGGCTGGCGAGCGTTTCCTCCCACAGGGGTGAGTCACTGACCGCCGCCGCACCACGGAGAGCAGTGGGCGTCACTGCGCAGCACCTGCCCGACACACGCGCACGGACACACGGACGCACGCGCACGGGACACAGACAACGATCCCCTGTGTAGCCTAAGCTGGCTGTTAGCGAGCACCTATGAAGGCGCGGCCGCCTTTGTCTCCCTTGCGCTGATGTTTAGATACCGTACCGACCTCAATTTAAGGCCGAGTCGACCTAGGGGAGACCCAAGACTGGTTAATCGGATACGAAGATCCCCCTTATAGCCCTAACATTTCTTTGGGAGCAAGTGCTGCTGCCTATGAAGGCCGGAACGGTGGGTGGCCAACACCACACCAGGCCGCCTTTGTCTCCCTACTGGCGACGTTTACACATTGCGCCGAGTACTCATTTGGGGCTGAGTCGACCGAGGGGAGGCTCAGGACCGCGTCGAATAACCGCCCCCTGTTGTTTTTGGTCGTGAGCGGGAATCGAACCTGGGTCGTGGGTAGCGCGGCGCGCTCACCCACTGCGCCACCGCTCCCGCACCCACGCGCACGCGCGCGACACGGACACGCGCGCGCCTGTCGCACGCATCGGCTACAGCGAACGAAGCCGGTGGTGACGTTCACGCAGAGCGAGCAGTCCCAAACGAGGCAGATGGGCACGCCCACACCGCCAGCGTGTGGATGGTAAGACAAAGATCCCTGCTGCAGCCTCGGGGATTGACAAGGCGAAGTGCTATTAGCGAGCTCATACTAAGCCCCCAGTGCAGTGCACAATTGTGCCCGGCCGCCTTTGTTTCCCCATTGATACTCATTTCGGGATGAGTAGAGGCCAAGGTAGGTTCAGATTATTAGCTGCCAATAGTGTTGTGAATTGCCAGGAATCGAACGAACGCTCATTAATGGAATTGGCTGAACAGCCCAATGCAAAACTACTGGAAGGAGACTCAGGGGGCCTTTCCTGGTTAAATAAATGGCAGTGTTATTGTCGTGAATATAAACCGGGTTGCCAGGATTCTAGTGTGTGTGTGTGAAGCACACCACGACTCATTACGGACACCCTGTATATAGTCAGCAACATTTCATCTGATTATACGGGAAAGATGACAACACAGCATTTTCTAAAAAGCAATTATGATGCACAACACACTCGACGAGGATTTGTGCTCTCAGCCCTCATCAGTCGGCCATAGTTACAAAATAACCAATGCCTAGATTTTGATGGAAATACTCAGAAGCATGTTTTTCTCTGTGCGGTATACAAACTGCCTTTGATTTAAGAATCAGAATCTTTATTGAGACTGGAGAAATCCGATGATGTACGAAGCTCCTTCTCACAGATGTACAGAATTTCACAGATTGGATTTGTTAAAGCAGAAATGTCTGTTTAGGATTACTGAAAATACATGCTTTTCTGAGTGTCTAACTGCAATCCCTGGAGGAGTGGGTTAATTAAAAAAATACTGTGCTGGAATTGACTTGAACAAATTAATTTATCATGCAACAACGTGTGGTCTCCACTCTACAGTACTGCGTGGTTATCCTCTGAATACAGCACTTAACCATGTTAGCACAAAATAAGGGCATTAATTAATCCAATTTCACAATGATTTGAGATGATTGCTGGACCGAATGAGATGGATCGCGGTTTCATGGTGGGCTGGTATCAGGGTCTGGAGCCAAACTAAATGACAACAAAGCACATGCCACGAAGGGATGTCTTATTTATTCGGTCATTTAAGGCTTCTCATACAGTATATAATATGCTTGAAACACATTGCCTCTCGCTCAAGACTAACTACCCCGCAGGTATGAAGCCTGCACACTGGCACATTCACATAGCGCGATTGGTGTGAGTCAGGAGCTTATACAAGCAGGAGTATGTGCACAGTGCTCGGCCATCAGCCTATCACCATTCTAGAGTGACCCTGCCCTAGTAGGAATGCTTAGCTGGTGTAGGGTAACTGGTTTTCCTTTTTGCTATTTTGAATGTTACGTGATTACGGTCGGATAAAACCACAGCTAATTAAAACATGTGCTCTGGGATTTCGTGTTATATTGGACATTGATGGTGGCTATTACGCGCGCTGTACAACACACGCTTGACGTGCATTCGTAATGCATTCCACATCCTACAATCAACTTTTGATAGCACCGATGGCATGTGATTCATATGAAGCTTATCTTAAATTACCGGTTAGTGTGCATAATGTAATCGTTTGGAAGAAAAATTACGAATTTTTTGCGAATTAATGGCCAAATGAGTGAAACCTTAGAGGACTCTCATTTACGACACCAATTTGACTCTTTAATAAGGGTAAGTGAATATTGGTGGCATGGGAATTGACACTCCTATTAAAGCCGCATTAGTAGGTCCTCTGCCTGTCACGAACACCTGCATTGGGGTGGATGCGCAATGCACATGCAATACCGCTCCTTGACTCTGCTTCTTTCACTGCCGTTAATCGTGCAGGAGAGAGAACTGATAAGAGTATCTAAGAGTCATCTTGGCTGCATTCGAGATAATTTTTTGTACTCGACGATAACGCTTAAAAGCCAAGCGTAAGCTACTTAAGATCCCAAAACTTGATGCACTCTTCTGCGACTTACCTTCACAGAAGGTCGCACGTCGCTAATGCTACCTGAAACACATTTAAGGAGTTGAAGTCACACATTATTTTATGACGCAGAGTGCACATCATGAGGATTGTGGTCGCTAAACAGCACTTGCCCCAACAGTCTGTAAAAGGCTACACGGGGGGGGGGGACATTTGTCTTTGTAAACTAGCGAATTGTCATTGGTGTCCATCATGTTAATTGGGAATTGCGAGTAAATTGCAAACACATCAAATTGATTTATATTCATCACTCAATACTTGTTGGCCTATTTTTATGCATACCGTACATGTAGTAAATCTGGTCAGCAAAAAGTGGGAAAAATACTTAATGTTAAAATTGTTTTTAAGCTCTTTCAAAGGACCACATTTATGTATGATTCATGTCGTATATTACGATGTCACACATATGGAAGGGGTGGAAATATTGAAAATGACTAGTGTCTAGACACATTTCATATCTTAGCCACGCAACTTCTTTTTGGCATTTTAAATTGATCTTTTTTTCCCCAAAGTGATTCAGGTAGTTAAAATAACTACTCCCTTGATGCAGTAATGATGCACACCCTGACAAAAAATCGTGTGAAATAATTGCCTGCGTTTGTTTTGCTCAGTGAGATTTTATTTTTTATCCACACCAAACAACGTTGGCGCCATTATACCAAAATCATTATGTTAAATATGTGTCTTGCATGTGGGAGGTGAGTGCCATAGGTAGCCATAGGTGTTGGGAGAGAGGGGAGTGTAGGGAGATTGAGTCATGAAATGAAGTTGAATATATATGAATTTCCGGGGCCTGTGACTGTGCAGAATAATGGATCGGCAGCTGTAAAGTGTGCTCCGCTGTGGGACATTACAGCTGACATTTACGGGTTTCTCAGCCTGCACACACAACTATCGGGTTATGTAATATACCATAAGTGTGCTCGCACAACAATATTGGCTTGTAAGGTCATTGTGCGCTTGATCTCTGAATTATTCATTTCACGTCAGAGGCTCGGAAACAACAGGGTGTGTGTGAGCTTCCCAAAATAAGTTAACAACGCATGTCACGGACTCACACGCACGCAGGCCGATTCTAGGGAACTTTAAAGAAAACGTGGAGGTTGCGTGTAGACCGAGTGTCTGCATTAACGTGTCTGACAATGGAAGTACCGTACCATGCGCGCTTAGTTTGTATTCGATCGGCAAAGCAGGCCCTTTTCTGTCGGTTCCAAACAACTCTGGAGCAACGTTAAATTATTCACAACTCTTCTTGGTTCTTTCGGTAAAGTCACGTAGAAGGGAAGTAATAAAATAATAAAAATAAAATATAATAAAATAATTGTATTATATAAAATTTTTATTATTTTATTAATTAAAAATATAATAAAATAATTGTATTATATTTTTATTATTTTATTAATAAAAATAAAATATAATAAAATAATTTTATTATATTTAATTTTTATTATTTTATTACTTCCCTTCCACGTGACTTTACCGAAAGAACCAAGAAGATGAATTCCTGCAGTCACGAAAGCTTTAAATCGAAATTTTTTCACAACTGTTTCGTGTGAAGGTGTTATGCTGGCCCTCTTGCACGAATACACATTGTGATGACGTTCATTTCGATGGTCAAAACATACGGCAAGCAAACAGACGTTGAACACACGTAATGTTTAGCAAAGCCGATTTGTGGCATAAGTGTATGTGCCAAGGAACATTCAATAGCACTGTCACCAGAAATCAGAGGGCAGCCTTTTCACACGAGGGAAAACATATATACTGGGTGAGTATTGAAAAGTACCATTGTTGCAGGGAACTTTACTTATTGCTTGAATTTTATAAGCCTCGCGTGGCAATCTCGATATTTTCTCAGTGTTATTCCCCAGCTATTTGCAGAGATGTGTGGTGGGGGTGGCTCTAACATGTTTTATCTATTTTGTTCATTACCATGTGGAATATTGCAGTGCAGTAGCTGTAAACATAAATAAATGTTCGGATTTGCTTGTTAACTTCAGTGTTGAAGGTTAATGTGTAACATTTGGTCCTACTGCTTTTAGCTATAAACATATTGAACTAAAAAACACAATGTGTATTTTGCTTAATAGCTAGCAAGCACATGGATTTGTACGTTCATGAGCTTAAGAACTAGTTGCCCAACTTATATAAACATACGTATCACATTAGCATATTGTGGACACATTTCTACCAAGTAACTGACGCCATATGACCTTGCTTTGTTGTCAAAAGTCATCGCAATTTCCCCGTCTCCACCTGTCATTCCCTTACTGGCAGAAGCTCAGCTTAGATTAGAACACCATTAAAGTATCGTGTATTGGGCTGAAGAGCATTAAACCATTGCCGGTGTGCTACAGACACTGGGTGATTGAGCGAAATCACATTTGAATTCCTGTAATTTTCACATTCAGCTCTCAGTGTCATTGTCAAGACATGTGCAGCAAAGGGAGTTCATTTGTTAAAGGACATTTCGCATACCAAGGGCAGCCCTGTGATAGTAAATAACGTAATAGTTACACTACCTAATATGTGGCTCTGTTGTAAAGTTTCAGAGTAAAGCCTCCCTCAATCAGATGAGATGTGGATTTACTTTTTTTTGCATACAAATTAATTAGTTTAGGACAAATTGAGTGATTTATACTTTGGCCATGGAACTTAAGATCGAATATTTAAGCTTCTTTACAGACCGAGGGCCAAAAAGGTCAAATTATTTTCAATAATATTACTGTTCACACCTTATGCACAAACACAATTTTAGCAGACAGAATTCCAAAATTAACCATTGACACGAGCAAACGAAGCACCCACAGCGATTTAGTGTTTGAGTCGCTGCAATAAAGCAAGAAAATGTGATCACTGGGAACCACAATTTCCCAGTAGCCATCACTTCCTAACACATCCCGTGTGCAACTCAGACATGTACACAACACACGCTGCTCTGAGCCCACCGTCAAACGCGCGGTAATAGGAGGGGCATCAGTTGTTCAGTGAGACGGGGAAAAATATGGACATTGTCCTGTGTTCATTTGCGAAACAGCCATGACGCGGCTTTCATCATCGCCTGTACTTTGCGTTTGAAGCTATTGGTGGTAAACCTTTTGTCAAATGATCGCATATCACTTATCACTGAGAGATCTTTATGCTTCATGTTTTATGTGTGTGTTTTTTAAAGAATACTTTTCATGGCGCCGCACTGCACGAGAGACCACTAGGCGGGATACAATCGTGCCGTCCTTCAAGAGGGCATTCCCTTTGAGTTTTCAACGCGGCACTTTGTCGTCCTATTAAAGCAAATTGAACATTTTTATGAACATAATGGGCATTATATAACATTACATGCCAAACGCATAATATATATTTAAAACCATCTTCATCATACCTGATATATGCACTGCTGTATCAATGCCTCATCGTGTTTCCACAGATGATATTTACATTCTACAATGTATTCCCTTGTTACATACATGATTCAGGATTATTTATATCCACATTGCTAGCCTCGGTTTAGTATGAATATACATGATAAAAATAAGACAGCGGGTACAGCAAATTGTCATTCCACTGCCCACACAGTGTGATTTGACCATACTTCACCCAGCTGGTCGATGCAGGTTTGGGAAAAGGTGTGCGGGGTACTGGGTCGGTTCAGATGTCATTCGCCGAAAAATAACGTTAGCCATGATCAGCAATCTAATTCATCCAGCAGCGGATAATTCACGATGATATACGCGATGAAATATATTAACCCTGGTATGTAATGGAATCCGAGAACGTCCTGAGCGCGTCAAACTTTTTGAAGGTCGAACACGTCTTTTCATTGTTGTGACTGCGACTCGGATCTTTGTTTGAGTGACCTCTTTCAATGCATTTGGAATCTAATTTTCTTTTGTCAGACATGTGTTCTGCGTTAACAGTCTGCTCACTTACCTGCTAACAAATGTGCAGGAGAGATTTCCAATTAAGTCCTACCTTGGGGTTTCCTTTCAATCGCTCTGCCCCTATCGCGGCTTGACTACAATGGACCCAACGGTATCATACGCACCATGTTAAATTAGCAATTTTAGAGCTGCTTAACTACATGTCCGCCCTATTGTGCTCAAAATTACACGATCCAATCGTCATTCGGAAATGCGTAGAGATTAAAACGGCGTAATTGGAAGCCAGGGGAACACCGAGGCAAGTCGTACGATGCGCTGACCAATTGCGGACAGATATTAATTCAGGTTAGTATTGGTCAGTGAGGAGCGTGCAGATTAGAGAACGGTACAGAGGTTATCGTTTTCGACTGGTAAGGAGAGAAAGTGAGCTTGGGTGTAACACGTCGTTAGAAGGGATTATGGCTGGCGTGAATAACAATGTGAGTTGCAGCCAAAAGAAAGAACGTGCCCAAGAGGGCGTCTTCTGTGGAGACGGAGTGATGGGATTGGCTCACGGGCATGTGCTGGGTGCATTGTTGCATTAGAGGACGATGAGAGGCTATCATCCAGTGGATAGATGACAACTGACGTGGCTGCTGATGATGACAGACACAGTAAACTGTATACTGTTTCCGCATACAAAACTAAAAAAAGTTGGCTTCCTAGCATCAATGGTGAGTGGTGGGACAGTGGTTAGCGCCAGGCGCTATGAACCCGGCGACCCGAGTGCAAACCCTGGCCACGGCTAACATCAGCGGCAAGTGAACATGGCTGATGATAACGATGTATGTGTGTGTATGTACGTTGCACTTCTTTCGCACCGTACATCGTCATCCGTGGTAATCGCAGGTGCGAGAGAAGAACAAACGGAATACAAAAGCAGTTATAAAGAACTGAATTTGAAATACAGTGATGACAATCACTCATTCTGCGCCGTTTTCCCTTTCCACTCCGCGGGCGCCTTCTCACTTCCAGTGGGAAGAGATCAGCGGCATCGGAGACCAGAATATGCCGGACCGCTTCTACCAGGTGTGCAACGTCATGAAGCAGAATCAGAACAACTGGCTGCGCACTCACTGGATCCGTCGCGACGGGGCGCAGCGCGCCTACGTGGAGCTCAAGTTCACGCTGCGCGACTGCAACAGCATCCCAGGCGTGTCGCGCACCTGCAAGGAGACGTTCAACCTGCTGGTGCGCGAGACCGACTCGGACGAGGAGCCCGAGCTCCAGGAGGGGCTCTACTCCAAGATCGACACCATCGCGGCCGACGAGAGCTTCACGCACGTGGACGTGGGCGACCGCGTGCTCAAGCTCAACACGGAGGTGCGCGAGATCGGCCTCCTTAGCCGCAAGGGCTTCTTCATGGCCTTCCAGGACGTGGGCGCGTGCGTGGCGCTCGTGTCCGTGCGCGTCTACTACAAGAAGTGCCCGGCGGTGGTGCGGGAATTCGCCTCCTTCCCCGACACGGTGACGGGCACCGACTCGTCCTCGCTCGTCGAGGTGCGCGGCTCGTGCGTGCGCAACGCGGTGGCCAGCGGCGACCCCAGGATGCACTGCAGCACGGACGGCGAGTGGCTCGTGCCCATCGGGCAGTGCGTGTGTCGCCCGGGCTACGAGGCCATCGGCAGCATCTGCAAAGGTGAGGCGTCGGTGTCGCGTCGTCGCCGCTGCGGCCCCGCTTCGCGTGCCGGACGGTTCTTCATTGGGGCGCCGTGCCAATAGGCACCGCGTTGCGACTGCGGTGCCTATTGGCACAATGTGAGATAGCGATTGGCAGATTATAGGTTTAACACGTAGCAAGCTTTCGCGACCAATATTATCCATAATAGAGGTTTTTTGGGGTTAGATCGCTTAAATATATAAATGTGTCGTTAAACCCGCCACCACCCGACACAGCCAATTAGTAAGGGTTGTCACGTAAAACAGAACGTGTCACTAGTACAGCACACCGGTGTGTTGGAGAGCAAAGCCACAACATTTACAATCTGAGTACGACGTTTCGCCAGTAATTATAACAATAATGTACGGCCGGCATTGTCAATCCATGGCTGCTGGCTGGGTGAGGGCCTCCCATCGCCTTGCGGGCTGCGACACATTTGGACATTTGTCATCGTGCTGAGCAGTGGTACTTGTGATGTTTGTGAAGGTGAGGCCGGATGCGGGCCAATTGGTTTTGTCGCACTGCCCTCTGGTGTACATGCAGGACTTAGGATCTGTCGAGCGTATGTTCAGTTCGGTGGCTGCACATTGAATTGTTTAAAAGTAAAGAAAATCAGGGGAATTCAGATGTCAACGGGCGCACAGCATTGAACGTGGAGACTTCTTTGCAGGTGAGTTTCTTTTGAATCGACTTTTACTTGAGCCCGTTTCTCACTGCCTCACCGGCTTGACAACATCACTGCTGCCACTTTGAGATTGGTTCTTCTATCCACGCACGGTTTCACGTAAATATCAACAATATAATTACGGGCATTCAACAGTAATTAACGCATTTAAAAATATTGAACAGTATAACACTAAATTCACATCAAATAAACTCTTTGGCAAGAACTACAGCACTGGATTATTTTATGCAACAGCTAACAAACAGTACCACAATTTTTTTTCTAGCAAGTTCCTTAAAGATATTTTTACCGGTACTCTCATGGACTCATTAATAATGTGAATGAATACAGCAGTCACTTTTAATAAAATAAACATTTAACTAATTACTTTCTGGTCTGATCTAATTTATTCAACTTAAATGGTTTATTATACTATTATCATATAATTGGTAAAGGATTATTATGCTTTATGCTCGTTTGCCTCCTTAAGATAATTAATTGTTTCCTTCAAAACGCTAATTACAGCATATTTCCCTGTCATATTTGCTTATAACCATATGCAAACTTGCAAACGAGTTTTTTTTTTAATCATGTAAGCTACTCAAGAATGTTATTCTGAATGCTTAAATATACAGTTAAAATATGTCGTGGGCTTTTATAGATTTTCACAGCTTTAAATGCTGTATTTATTTATGTCATTAATAATGTCAAAACAGCATTTTTACCTATCACATCTACTTTTGATTCTAGTCACACTTACAAACGAGTTTTGAGAATAACTTAAACTATGTAACTATGTAACTATGAATATTGACATTTGCAACTTAAATCCGTAAGTTTTTTGTCAAGATTTACCTCAGAATGCTACAGAGTTGTGTTCAATTCTTAATCGCATAACTCTATCCGTAGAAGTTGTAACCTTACCCTGCTATTCCCTACCTTATAGCAAAGTACCTTTACACCAGAAGTAACACTTTTACTTTAGCCCATTTCTCACTTGCCTCACTGCTTGGCAACATCGCTTCTGTCAAACTGAGATTGGTTTCCCACCAAAATCAGTGGGTGAGACATCACTGTTAACCCATATGGTATAGCCGTATTCTTGTACAGGGAAATTTAGTTTTCAGCTCCATAGGGCGTACATCCGTTTCAACATTTTTTTGTCTATTTGTTTGTGTTTCTCCCTTGTGATGGGACTTTGTAGGATGAACGTTGAGGTTTATAGGGGAACGGGGTGACCAATGAGGTCTGAATTGGTCTGTAATAAGTTGGGCACTTGTAAGGCGTTGACAGATATGGTGAGAGGATAGGAGGGCGAGGCCTGAATGTTACTTCGCTTGGGTAAGCATCGAGCCTTTGATGAGCTGTCTTGGCTGGGGATGCAGTTAATAGCATCCTGACGAGTCCAAGGATCCCTCTACTTACGAACGAGTTAGGTTCCAGAGGTCTGTTCGTAAGTCGATTTGTTCGTAAGTCCAACTTTAGTCCTGTCGATTCTAAACATGTTGTACGGCATGTACACTAAACACGGGGAATGCCTTTCAAAGTTGTATACTCTCCTGTAGATATAGATGCCACCACCGCCATTCATTGCGTGGCGGTTGAACTTACGACTTATGGCCCGAATAGGCAACTGGACATACGAACAGGTTTGTTCGTATTCTCTGAAAGTTCGTAAGTCGAACGGTCGTAAGTAGAGAAGTCCCTCCATTCATAATAAACGTTTTGGGGTTAGATCGCGTTATTTATAAATGTGTCGTAACCCTCCACCACCCGACACGGCCAATCAGCAAAAAATTGTCACGTTGACAAAATACAAATAGTTCACTGCTTTAGCCCACCGGTGTGTTGAAGCGAATTGCCCGATAATGCTCGATGTAATTACCAGCGAAACGTCGTACTCAAAAACTGTAAATGTTGTGGATTCACGCTTCAACACACCTGTGGGCTAAAGTAGTGAACTATTTGTCTTTTGTCAACGTGACACTTTTTGCTGATTGGCCGTGTCGGGTGGTGGAGGGTTACGACACATTTATAAATTACGCGATCCAACCCCAAAAACGTTTATTATGAATAATATTGGTCGCGAAAGCCTACGTGTTAAAGAGGAGTCCCTATGCAGTATTTGTGTAGGCGGGGGAGCTTCCGACTCGAACTGAAACCATGTGCCCCACACACACACACACTGCCCATTGCACCTGCCTGTCACCCATGGTGGTCACTCACCATGCGTGATTCAGTCTCAACCTTGCCCAGCCTTTGAGATCTATATAGACTAGAATCCAGACTCGTAGAGCTATTCTTTCGGTGTTAAGGTTCTGTTTCTATGTTATAGTTATGAGTTAGGAGTTAGAGAAAGTTAATATTATTCAGGCTACGGTTTATAGCTAGGAGTTAGAGTTATGTATGAGGCCAGGGTAAAGAGTTAAAGCTGAGACTAAGGGATAGTGGCATGTGTTGGAGTCAAATTGCTTAACCTTTGGATAGCAACCAAAGTCTAACTGTGACACTGTTTTTCATTGAAACACTATATCACAAGGTGACACGGCTTGTTTGACGCTTCTTATTCGATGTAATACATTTTATATTTTTATATTCAAAGCCCCTGGGGGGTGGGTTCCTTTTCCCCTTTTGCAATTAAGGCTATCAAATCATCAGCTAAATAAGGGGACACGACAAGAAGTCGACACGTGGATCATGACTTGTGTACGTGCGGTGGGGTAAATGTGGATGAACCCTGATGTATTGTGGCTGTGTAGGCCAAACGGCTCTCGGAAACAAAGGTCCATGAGCTTGTAGTGGTGTGGGCACTGTGCTAGAGGTTGAACTTCAGCATGTTTTTTGCAATGGATAATTGAGGTCACACAACAAAAGGGTAGGCCCAATTCAATACCGAAAGTTGGAATATTATAATTTATTTAATAATAAACTCAAATGTCAAGCCATTAGCTGATGACATTTAGAGATTATTGTTTCCTGGCTAGTTCATGGTATTTCACTTGGCAACCTATCAAAGAATATAAGAATATAGTGTTTAAAACACGACTGTCATGATTCAGGTAATTTTACACGACTGTTAGTTCATGCCTAATTTGTTCCCAACCTTGTTAAAGAAGCGTTCTTTCTCTAAATATGCCCTGTGGTTGTGAACAAGTAATGCAGACAAATTACACTTGAAACTGTAATCATTTAAAATATGATTTGAATTTCCGTAACCTTTGAAGTGACGAGCACCCAAACAACAGTGACACTGGCCTACTTTATCCACAAAAAGCCACGTATATTAATTGTGCTTATCACTCAGTTTCTGGAGTATCTCATAAAAAATATCTGAGAGATGTTTTCCAATTCACGATCGTTAGTGAGGAGGTTTCTGAGAGTTAATGCTACAAAGGTGACTGGGCTAAAAACTGTAAACGCCAGATTTGTCAAGAGCTACCACACATCATGAGTATCAATACACGTTTCTTTGTTTGGGATCTAACTGATGATGACATGTAACCATTAATCCAGTACATCTATACATACAAATTCACTACATGTAGTCACATTGTGCATGAACTAATTTAACATGTAACACTTCTGGAAATTATAGTATGAGGCTATATTTGGCCAAACAGAGCGAACAAAACAAAAAGAGACTCACAAACCGTTGAAAAACTCTACGAACAGAAATGGTAAACAGTGGACAAAAATAATAAAGAGTGAACAAAACAAAAAGAGACTCACAAACCGTTAAACAACTCTACGAACAGAAATGGTAAACAGTGGACAAAATAATAATTGAACCACGACCCTGAATCGTACCAGTTCATTGAACGGCTTTAGGGGTAGGAGGTGGGTTTGGTGGGGAGGAATTCTTATCCAGTACACATACAAAAAACTCATAACACCAAAAGCGTTAAGCACAGTGCTGTAATTATACACATTGAAACGAACGGGCACCCATTTTGTTAAGTTATGCACAATTATATTTAGAATACGAATAATATGCAAAGTCTTCAACAAGTTTAAGATTTTAAGTTTTTCAAAAACAGCGCCAACAAAGTTAAAAGCAAATAAACTATTAGCTGTACGTCACTATAATGCAATATTTCATTTTCAAAACTTTTACTGCTCCTCATGTGTATGATTACACATAAAATATACTTGTTTTACTATTACAATTAGAACAAACATCAGTTACAAGCAGGTGAGGAAAGTTCTATAGTTGATCGATTTAACAAGTCTGTGTAGATGATGATACAAACATGGAAACTACCCTTTTATTATCGCAATTCACGCACATTGCCAAATCAATTCAATTTATAATGCG